TTTTTTTTTTTTTTTTTTTAGATTTTAAAAACTCAGAAGCTGATAAAATTTGGGGTTAAATATCGGTGGGGTGGCCGATGTCCGATATTCAGTTTTAAGTCTGATACCGATAGGGGGGCGATTATATCGTGTATCCCTAATTTAAACGGTTATTACGGTAGAAAGAGCGTGTTAGCATTCTGCACACAGAAACAGCTGTTAACGTATAGATGAGGAGCAGAGAGATCCAGTTTTAAAACAGACGAGGAAGTTGGTTATCACAGCCGGCTGGACGCAGCTACCCTGTGTTACCCTGAACTCCCACATCCCCCGCCTCGCCTCGCCGCGCTCCGCCCCGCTCTGCTCAGCACCTCCTGCTCAAAGCAAAGCCTACAGCCTCCGCTGCTCCTCTCGTCCTGCTCTGCACCCACTCCCTCTGATCTCGAGGAGAAAATGCAATATATTATCATTAAATTTATTGGAGCAAAACATGCAGAAATGAACGCCTCTTTTAATCTGACATATTTAAAAAATCCCCATCAGCTTCCAGCAGATGTTCAGTTTCTGCCCAAATATTTTCTTTTTGTTGTGGATTTTTGTCGCAGGGATAAATAGGATCATATAATCTTTACATTTACATCCTATCAAAATAATAACAGCTTATTTAAAACAAAAAGCACAGCTGTTTCTATGAACACATGAATATAAAACAGGTTTTTATTGTAAAAATATATTTCTATATGACTTCACTATGACTTTTTTGAAGGACAGATTATTTTTATGGCCTGAGAGATTATTTTTCATTCATCTTTACGTGTAATAAAATAAAACATATATATTTGGTGTGGCTGCTTTAAGCTGCTCATCAGAACGATCCACATTTATAGATGTGTTTTAATAGCTGTAATTTAATCTGAATATAAAATCTAACCCAACTTTTTTAATAGTGACAGATTATAATCCAGGCTGCAGGAGGCGACTCAATGCTCTGCAGCTGACCAGGATGCGGTGGAAACAACTGGAGGACTTTTATTCAATAGTTACTTAGAAAAAATATATATTTTATTTCAATTTGTATATAAATATAAAAAAGTTTAATTTAAAATTTTTTGAACGGAAAAAGAGAGAAATTCCTACAGACTCTTCATTGATGCCAACTGGCCTGAACACAGAAGACAGAGACTGAATGATCAGATGGCTCTAATTAATAACCACTACTGATTGATTCATATTATTTTCTTAGGAAATGGAAGAGGCGCATTCCTGGATTTCACACTTGGTTCTTGTTTAAATGTTAATAAATATGTAAAAACTAGGGATGCACGATATAATCGGCCC